GCTCCTTAGCTGCGTGGGTTTCACGCGAGCACGGTCGCGCGGGTTTCACGCGGACCTGAGCCGTGCGGTTAATCGCAGGCTTATAAATGGAAGAGATTCAAGTGTTAGAAGTTTTCAGAAAACACACCAGCCTTGAAGAGCGTGTGGAGGACGCCAGCCCACATCAGCAGCACTTAAGATATGCTCTGGTGAATGGCTTTCCCCTACCCCTTGCTGACACAAAATGTTTATTCTTTAGCTTGCCCTGTTCGACAACAGCCTGTGCTCCAGACCATAGATTTAATTGAGGTGGATAATTGTTAAAAGTAATCTGCATTAAGCTTAGGGTTGCTCAAATTCAGTACAATGACATATGAGATGAAGTAAAATAGGTAAATATTTAAACTAATGACATGCATAGAGGCACTTGACCTGTTTGGTAAAACTGTCATCCTAATATGTGCCATTGTTGAGATATAGAGCACGCCTGTGAAAACGAATATGCTGAACCCTGTATGAAACGGCTAAAACTACTTGATGGAGAAGCTGAATTGAATATGAAAGTGCAAGTCTTTGCCACTGTCTGGGGAAGTTTTCAGAAAACAATGTTAGATGTTAGGTTGTGGTCTCTTCTGAGCTGATGAGCAAGCTACACATTATCTGTCTGTGAAATCATAAAAGAGAGGGAAACGAAAACTATGATAACTATGATAACTGGAGTGTGCAGCGTTTCCGTGAGCAGTTTTTCTGCATCTTGACTCATGTGTGTAGAGTGTTCATAGCATCAGCATCATGTTTTTGTTATTAGTTTTGTTGGGTTGAAAATAATTAAATAAACTTGTGATCATATTTATGGATCACCATGGCACATATCATCAGCCATGTGATTTATTTACGCAGATGAAAAAAGTGAGTGTGAATGTGTCTGACGTCACAGTGTTTTTGTGCGCTGTGTAAAAGTAATTGCCTAATTACTTTGCCAAAAAATTTATAGCTCCTTCTACATTTGCAACACTAAAGATTAATTGAATACCTTTAATT